TCTCCAGAATGAAATTTTTAAGCGAATTCTAACTCATGCGTTCCGTTGAGCAATCAACACCATAAACTTCACATCTCTCTATGCGAGCCGCAGTCGCTTCCTTGCCTTTATGAGAATAAAAAAATAAAGTATGTCGATAATGTTTATTTTTGCACCTCATGTTAAAATTGACCTTAAATTAACAATTCTAAGTAAAAATACACGGAATGTGTTGCCATAGTAATCTAAAAGTGTTAGCTGCCAAACCTGAAAAGAAAAAAATATATATAAGATTGACAGAAGAATAAAAAAACGAACATAACGCTATATATTTGAGCAAATTGAAGTTATTTCTTTGCCTACCCAATAATTTCTTTATATCAGGGAATTAAATCCTTAGCAAACTATGGTCAAGTTGGACCATAGTTACTGGACCACCAGTAGCGGAAGAAGAGATGTGTTGTTGCGAAATGCCCTGTTGCGGTAAGAGAGCTTCCTTGCAAAGGGGGGGGGGTGTTATGGTTGCCAGAAAGTCTCAAGGAAGAGCAGGTTGACAGATTTGGTGCGCAATCGCCCATTTGGCGACAAAATCGGCGATATGCCATAGACTGAGCGAGAACATTCTAGAACGAATTCTTACCGGTTTTCCCAAGATTGTTCTCGTTGGCGGGTCGAAAACTATGCATACCCTACTTGCATGCTGAGTAAGGGAGTATCTTGAGTAGCAGAGTACTATGATGAGTTCAGAAGTAGTGTCTTGAATTCAGAGATTAGCTGCAAAGCAATTGACCTAGTCGGGGGCTCTACTTTAGTGCTTTGCCGTGAAGCTGTCTTCACCGTTATAGCCCGAAGGCTGTGTTGCTGATTATTTCAGCGTGTTTGTCGTAATTGTTCGACGATTGTAACGCGTCTGTGGAACTGTCCTGTGTAATACTGACGAATAAATCGTGTTTTAATTCTTGAGCAAAGTGTTGCCATCAATCCCTCCGAATCTACGAATCCATAAAATATGTATGTTTCCATATTCTCGGGCAGCTGGTGCATTGGTAAGCCCCCTGTTAAGCTGGTGCAGTTAGAGACACTTGTTGTACATAAAACCCGTAACTGAAAGTGATCTGAGGAACAAAAGGGTTAACAAATCAAGCCGTAAAAATTAACAAGAAGAAATGAAACCGTAAAAATTGAAAGCAAATGTGTCGTTTTTGATTTGATAGGAAACATAGAGCTCTCAGTCAATAAATCTTTCACTGTATGAACTGACACAGAAAGTGCGTGTAGCAAGCACAGAGATAAATACTTATTCAATAACAGTGTTTCTTTCTTTATCTCTCAAAGACTTGAGCAATCGATTGCGTCAATTCCTTTAATAAAAGCAAGAAATCGAAAGATTAAGAAATATGTCAAGTAAACCGGAAATGTAAATATAGCGAGAGACGAGATATATTTTTGCTTTGTTTAGAAATATCATTCTAATTCCGTTATATGTTATTTCCTGGTTACTTAACTTTTCCGGATTACCAATGGTTAATTGTATGACTTTAAAAATTAACCTAATTCAGGTTTAATTTAAACTTCCCATGCTGATGACAAATACTTTCGAGCGTATTCAAGAGTGTGTGCAAATTTTTATGCTATGAGAGAAATTAACCTAATATGCATTTTACTTTATAGTTGGCATGGTAACAAGTATTTCCGTAAGTGGTAAGGTTGAAAATCATTGAGAAAATTATGTTTTTTGCGATCAGTTACGTAAGGCTCATTCACTCAGCACGTAATCGTTTAATCATAAAGAGAATTAGTAACTTTTTAAAATTAACATACATTCAGTATTTTCATTTAAAATTATGAAAATCGGGAAGTTTTCTTTTCTGAAATTTGTGCTCAGGATTGAAGTTTATTTAAACCAGAACAGGAACCGATTCGAAATATTTCTGAATTCAAAACGCTTCTTGGTTGAAAAGTTATTCCATTCTATCTCAGTTTACTTTGTCAAAAGGTAAAAAGTTTATTTTTCAGTGCTTAAAGCACTTTAAGCACTCTGTAGAGTCTAGCTCATAAGACCGCTGAACACTGGTAGTTCGACTTGGATTTCAATCCTGTCGAATGGGTGTTTTTGTGTTTTGAGGATGGTGAAATGGGAATACGAAGCGATTTCCCTCAGAAAGAGCTCCACGAAGACATCTCTTTCCTAAGGCCCTTAAGTTTTTCACTGTTCAAAACCCGGCGAAAGAGCTGGTTGTGGGAATTTTCGTGGTTTTATTTTCCTTAAGTTTATCATAATTACGAGCCAGTTCTCCTTAAAAAGGTCTCATGAAGGCACTCATGTGCTTTGCCATAAGCCAAATAACCCTAATCTATCGACGATGATCTTTGTGAAGTTGAGCCAAAATGTGTTAACATGAGTGAATTCATGACAGTGACAAACGGGTCATTTTTAATGATTAACCAGTTACAGTGCCGAAATCTCGATCGTTACTGCTGTAAGCAAAGGTTTCGTACAAATTATCATTAGAAATCTTCTCAGTTTTTAAAAATTTTTATGTCTGTGTTTGCCCGTGTTATTCAGTTTTGAGCAAAATGTGGTACGTGTTCAGAATTTTCGAGAATTTCATGTGTACGCTTGTGAAAATGGCGATTTTCTGCTCCACATCATTACAATCACTAAGTTACGAGTACAAAAACATCGACTACATTCTGAAACAAGGATAATATATCGGGGAAAAAAAAAATTTCGCTATTTTCCAAAACCTTAGGCACCGTACATTTTCTGGTAAAATTAAGGTTAACAGTATTTTGAGACGAAAAGGATACTGTTGTATACTACAGATGTATATACAGATGAGGAATATTACGCTTTCTCTAAGTTTCTCTAAATTTGAAAAGACGTTCTGGGGAACTAGAATTATCCAGTTGCAGGTGTCGCTTTGTAACACGGCAGAGCAAGATTCCATATGGCCATCAAACGAAAAGACGTTCTCGGGAATTAGAATTATCCAGTGCAGGTGTCACTTTGTAACACGCCAGTTTAAGATTCCATATGGCCATCAAATGAAAGGACGTTCTCGGGAACTAGAATTATCCAGTGCAGGTGTCACTTTCTAACACGGCAGTGCAAGATTCCATATGGCCATCATAACTGTGGTAGTTATTGGCCGATTGAACTGAGAGGTGCAGTCGCATCCGCGTTACGATCTCTAAGCAAAACGTTTCATATCAATGAAGAAGTAATTTAAGCAGTTCACCAATGAGTCAGGGACTAACAACAGAAGTCTATGCTGCTAAAAACAAGGCGGTAGCTCCTCGCTTACCGAACAGAGAAAATATGTTTTCCAATAGCAAAAGTTTACTCATAGTCCAAGTAATTTAAACTCACCTCACATAATTGTCTAAGAATAAAATCAACCTATATGTAATTACTAAACGCCCTACATATAACACATAGGGTACTTTAAATCGTAATAGGTTTTATTTAAATGATTTATTTGTGCTGTTTTAACCTTTTGACTGCAAATTTTAAAAAAAATTACCCCGTTGTCTATCCAATTGAACAAAACGTCATAAATAAGGTAAATTTATCATTTGGGATTTTTTTGACAAATAGTTTTCAAGCCAAAGACTGGGACACATATGTCTCACATATTGCGATCGGCTTATGATAAGCACACCTATTATTCTAGAGAACTTTATGATGTGAAACAGATTAACATCGTATGGTACAGGATAAAGCATTCTTTGCATAACCCAACATTACATATTGGGCAACTCGAATTTGTTCTTTTCTGTATGTTCGTTTGTGTACACCGCGCACAGCGGCGTCTTGATTTCCCAACTATTGGAAGATGATCCCCAGCATTCAGGAGATCATAAGTACTTTTTAACCCAGCAGTCATTTTTAAACTTTTAGTGGGACATATATGTCCCGTTAGTAGTCAAAGGGTTAACAATAACCAGAAATTGAAGTTTACAAGTCTTTCTTACAAGCATGTCTTCTAAAAGCTAACTTAAGCCTTTCACAGCATCGCGAATATTATTATATTAAAAGCCACGTCAGTAATTAAAGTGAAAGTATAGTGTCAGGTGAGAGACTCTTATTTTCTGCTCAGACCGCGTCAACCACCAGTGACTAGCAACATACTTTTCATTTAGGCTGTGTCAGTCACTGTTAATTGGCGATATGCATTTTAAACAATTATATTCTTCTATGAAATTCTACACAAATCTCTGAATATTGGTGAAGTTGGATATATCATGGACTAAAGGGAAAGAATGACAGAACAAGTTTGGAGCTTGACGTCACCATTTCTGAAGATGGTAACACTAGACTGTCGAAGAGAATAGCTCTCAGCCGAAGTCTGATACCGCTTGCAATTTACTTCTTAAATCCAGTAATACGATGAAGATTACTACTGATCTATAGGACCAGGAACAAAAGATCCATCGTTCTTGTCTCTAGATTGGTCCTTGTAATTACCCAGCGTGTGTTAATTAGTGTGATAACGCTGACTGAATCTGTGTATTAAAAATACGGAATGTTACTTCGAACATATCTTTTAGAATTCTATCTGATGTCAGACCTAGCTGAGACCGCTGTATTGTTTTACACTGTGTATATATTATGTTGGTAATAGTCAGATATACGGAAGGTTACTTTGAACATATCTTTTAAAATTCTATCTGATGTCAGACCTAGCTGAGACCACTGTATTGTCTTACACTGTGTACATATTATGTTGGTAATAGTCAGATTTCTGGCCTGTCTGCGTCTGCGACTTACATTACGCCTTGTATTAAGTAAAAAATGCTTGTGCCTAAATTTTGAAAGTTCTGTCTGCTTTATTTATGAGGGGAGAATTACTGAAATTTTCTCAAGTATTTGTTTCTTTAACTATACAATAAACAGGTTCCATTGGAGGATTTAACTTGTCACTATCTTCGCAGCAAAAATTGCATAGCATCTGAAATCCAAGTTATGTGATTCTAAATGTTAAAAATCTTTTTTCAAATTTTCTTTTTTCTTTCAGGCTTGTTAACCTACATTAATTGCCGCAATGTGGGTTGGGCAACTCGTGTTCAAGATGTTTTCACGTTCGCTAAGGTCCTTGCTTTGATAGTTATCATATTAGCTGGCGCATATCATATGTTCATGGGTGAGTAATGAAGTTTTCAAATTTTTGTTTTTTAATTAGTGAATAGCATTAATTCAACAAATATTTAACCAAGCGTACATATGTAGATTATATGAATACCTTTATGTTGAGTGATTTGCAACTGCAATATCTAGTAAGTAATGGAGATTTAGGCTACAAAACATTCTTTCAAATGTAATAAAACTGGAAATTTTAAAAAAAAAATTATTACTTTTTTAAAACATGAGTTATAAAATTTAAGTATTTATTGTACATGTATTTGTCATATCAGTTATTTTAACAAAATCATGTCCTCCCAGCCATATCAGGGGGGGGGGAAATAAAAGTTTTCAAATAAAAGTTTTAAAGATTACTTTCAGCATGAATCTATAATTTAATAGTTCGTTAGAAATAAGCTTTCAGTTCTCGTACACACCTAACAAAATATCTGTTAATTATACGCATTATTGATGGGGGAAAGGCAGTGTATGCACAATTGTGTTGGTAATATAAAGATGCATGGTTTATAACTTAAATATTATTAAAAAAAAAAGTACATTAGTGACTCAATGAACTACTCCACTGTACTAGTAGTTTAATCCGGGTTCTCTAAGCCCAGCAAATGCGTTAGTTTTATGAGTGTTTGCGTAGTTTTCTCTGTGTATGATGTGATTATGGATTTATTTCCTTTAGATAGTCTTCAATAAAAGCATCCCTTCCCTCAGGCTGGTAACCCTTTTGTATTTGTCCGTAATCGAATAACCCAGTCCAGTACAATTACAGAAAATAAGCAATTTCTTACAAAGCATATAAATCTAATGATACACAAGCTATTAATATATAAAAAAACTGTGATTTTAATAGAGTACATTGCAAGAATAATATGATTTTAAAGAAAACAAATACCAGGTCTTCTTTCTTTTAAATCATTATATCTGAATCATAAGAAAATTATTGAACAGGTTACAAAAGCTCAAAGAACGCATTTTAGAAGATATTAAAATGTATATTCAGGACTAACAGAACATCTCTTCTTTGTTCAATAATAAATAATTCGTTGTCATTTTTATATAAATATTCTAATAATTAGAGTAAGCCTTAAATTATCTGAATAATTTGTAGTTTTATAGCCCGTCTAACCATTTTTGTAATTTAATTGTAACATTATTTCCCTGGTTTTATTTTTTCATTAACTTAAATACAATATAAAAGGATAGTTTATTAACACTTTACATCAATTTACATTATAATTATAGATTTATTCTTAATCAGAAAGCCCACCAGCGGTCGAGCGGTAAAGTCGCTGAACACTGTTAGTTTGGTCCGAGGTCCGAATCCCGCGAACGGGCTGGCATGGCTGCTTTCGTGGTTTTTCCCCGTGGGTAACGTGTATACGAGACAGTTTCTTTTAGAAAGTCCTCCACGAAGGCATCACTCTCCTTAGGCAGATAGCCCTCGAGGCTTTGCCGTAATTAAATTACCTAACCTTAGTCAGAAAGCGTCTTTTAATTTGCAAGAAGTTAAGCGAGTTGTTAAAAAAAAGAAAAGGAACTGGGAGTTTGCAATGGAAATTGACCGAAATTACGTAAGAGGGAAATACTTCATGAAAGGCGTTGAAAAATTATTGGCTCTTTGCCGCAAGACTTCTAAAGAATTTTTTAATTGTTGTCTCGAAACACAAACCACCAGCTTCTATTAAAAAAAAAAAAAAAAAAAAAAAAAAAAAAATCTCGCATTTTTTAAGCAGCAATAATAAAATCTTTTCAATTAACATTTGTTTCTCTTTTTTATTATAACGATATTTGCGTTTGTTTAAAATATGCATACTTTCTTAATCTGAACTACATCTAACACATATTTTCCATAGAAAGGTTTACCGCCGAACGGTTAAGTCACTGAGCACTGGTAGTTCCGATAAGGGCTCGATTTCAGACGAACGGGCTGACTGCATAGACGTTTTCATGGTTTTCCTCATGTGTAACGTGTTCACGAGCCAGTTTCCCTTAGAAAGTTCTTCACAAAGGCATCCCTTCCCTTAGACAGATGACCTTTACGTGCTTTACCATAATTAAATGAACCAGGCCAAATCCATAGTGCCCAAATCATAGTGCCCGAGTGGTAAAGACGCTAAACACTGGTAGTTCGGACCGAGGTTCGAATCCCGCGAACGGGCTGGCTGCGTGGGCGTTTTCGTGGTTTTACCCATGTGTAACGTGTATACGAGCCGGTTTCACTTAGAAAGAGTCCTCCACGAAGGCATCCCTCCCTTTAGGCAGATGGCCTTCGTGTGCTTTGCCATAACTGAATAATCCAATCCAAATCCATAGAAAATTAAATTTGCGGAGTGGATTTTGCCACATGCGCAATGTTTTAATGAGGTAACTCCCGCAACCGGCATAGTTTTAATGTAATTTAATTTCCCATAAAATGACAATGAAACTACATCATTCTGTCGAGAAAGAGGTGTGTTACCCTTCATCCAAATAAAATAGGTATATCATGAAATTATATATAATTATAATATATCGGAAGCCAAAAAACTCTGATTGCAGATTTTCGGACTTTCAAATTTTCTACACTTTTAGCTTTCTAAAAACACCATACATTAATTTCTATGAAAATTAGAACTGTAAAAATCCCAGTTTAAATTTATCATCGAATGCTTTGATAAATGAGGATTTTTAGTTAAAAAGGCGTTTTTCTCCAAATGTATTTTTATACTAGATATCGCTTTTCTCAGGAACTACTACTCACAGGTATGTAAATTTTTAACGCTTATATGTTTCCTAAAATTTCCTGAAATGAAATTTTTGTGATAAACTAAGAAATAATTCTACAAATTTTTTTGTAACAAAAGTGCTAAATTTTATTGTGTGTAATTATTATAATAAATATTCTATAAATTACTCTAAAAATCAAAATGTTTCAAAAGCTCATATCAGTTTAATCAGATAGGTGTATTTTAATCACACAAAAAGTTTCAGAGTTTATTTAAAGCAGATTGTGAGAAAAGGTACATCGAAAATGACCAATTTAACATTGTCGGTATAGAGGGTTCTGACTTCCCTTTTAAAGGAAGAGTTACACCTGACATATAATTACAATTTAAGTAAGATGTTTTTTTAAATACACTATTTTTTCCCTCCTCCTTCAGGAACATAGATATGCCCCATATAAACTTGGAGACATTTTTTACTAGGCGTTTTGGTTACCGTTTAGATTCAGTACTTTTCACTTCATAATCTTTTCATAAAGTCTATAAACAGAAGATAAAATTTTCTTGCTTGAATTATAATAAATACCCCCATAGCACAGAACATCCTCAGAATGTCCTATTTAAGTCGCAATATCTCGGGACATACTTAGGATGTCCTGAGTATGTTGATTCTCAGATGTCCTGAGGACATTGTAATTTAACACCCTGAGATGTTCCGGGATATGCGAGGATGTCCTGAAGATTCTCAGATGTCCTGAGGACTTCACCAATTTCCCATCCTGAGGATATTCATACTGCAGTGTCCGAAGGACTTCCGTTGTAAAGCATTCTGAGGATATTTGTTCTCAAATTTACCAGTTTTAGTTTTTTGACATTGCACATCTGAAACTTGCACGTTATTTAATTTTCATATGTACTTTACTAAGTTGTTTCTAAATGCTGTGCATTAAAAATATTGATATGATTGATGATTTATTCTTGTTATTTTGTTATTAATTTTAACTGCTATTTTTTCTGACGTTTTTAAAAATTTATTTAGTCATGGAAAAGATTTTGTTCAATGGATTAGCATTTTCTAGAATATTTGCTAAATTCTAAATAACATATATAATTTTATAAAAAATTTTAAATTACATGTATAATTAATTGCAGATTACAAACGCTACTATAAATATAGGCAAAACTAGAAACATTTTTTTCTCTAATTACGGGACGGAAAATGCTTTCGCGCAGACTGTTATTGATATTGAATTACAGTCGTGCGATAATTTCTGTTTACTTACACAGAAGAAAGACACCCCATTTATTCATTTTTTTAAAAAAATTATTTATTTAAATATTTGAATAGACCGTGGTCCCAGTATGTGCCGGTAATTCGAATTCCACCCTACGTTTAAGAATGTTTCAATGCACTTCCGCGCATTACTTCAGCAATGGAGATAAAAACTTTATCTTGTTCCCATATTAGTAAGCTTCGAAACTAGATGAGAAACTCTTGACTACATTTGTATAGATAATTTATTGATAACAAAATGTAAATACCGGCTGTAAAACATGGCTTACTGATTTTTATGGAAAGGAATTCTTTTGAATTATTAGAAATTAGAACAAAACTGTTAGCTCGCTTGTATTAACACCATTCATTTAACCATCAAGAATGCTTAAAACTGGCCAAAATTTACTTATATAAAGAAAAAACAATCAAGGAAATCATATACTTATTTTTAATTCCTTTAAATTTCAAGGACGGAGCCAAAACTTCGATAATGCTTTTCAAGGAACTACAACAGAACCTGGCTACATAGCTCTGTCCTTTTATTCCGGCCTCTTCTCTTACGCAGGATGGTAAGTATATTTTTTGCATAAACTTTGAATTTATTAATCAGAAAATCTACTAATATATGATCTTCTGAATGTGCATTATTACAAAGGCATGATAATTGTTATCATACTTTGAAACCAAATCGATAGTTTCGCTGAACACTAGTACTTATGAACGGGCGGGCTGCATGAGCCTTTCTGTGGTTTCCCCACGTGTAACGTGTATACAACCAGTTTCCCTAAGAAGGTCCTCTACGAGGGCATCCCTCCCCGTAGACAGTTAGCCCTCTAGTGTTTTTATATAATAAAATAAACCAAACCAAACCACTTGTTATTCGACCCAGCTTTCAATCTCAGAGTCAGCCCACCAGTGATTAAGTGGTAAAAGCAGGAATTCCATCCAGAGTCAAAATCTTGGGGAACGAGCTGGTTGCATGAAAGTTTCTTGACTTCGTCCATGTATAACGTGAATACGGTCTGTCTTTACTTAAAAAAACTCCACAAAATCGTACCTTCCCTTGGCAGATAGCACAAATACTGTGCAGTAATATATATATATATCATACCAGTTCTCGAATTCTCGCGAACCTTAATCCTCGAATAATGCTTGCAGCTTTGCAGTTTTCGTAGCTTTCCTTGTACGTTAAAAGTAGACGGAATTCTTCGTTAATTACGTTAATTATGTTAATTACGGTAATTTGAAAACCTCTTTGTTAATTTACGTTTACATATAATTGCCATGTTAAATTCCAGAATGCTGTTAGACCAAAAATCATACTGATCGGAAATAGTTTCTATGTCTATTACAAAATGTATAAGTATCTCTAAAAAAAGGCGAGTTCCAGGTATTTTGATTATTATGAAGTGTATCCTGAATAATTTCCGAAGAAAGAATCATTATGGTAAATGTCTATGGTCATTGGCTCAAATAGACAAAACACGCGAAACGCTATAATTCTCTCTGGTTGAATTCCGGCCTGTAAAAATTGGTGTCGTGATTGTTTTCGTGGATTTCCTCATGTGTTACTCAAATGTATAATGTATGTATCAATTTTCGTTTTAAATGTCTTTCACGAAAGCATGCTCCAGTTAGACAAAAATTACCTTCTCGGTATTTTGCTGCGATTAATCAAACCTGATCTTGGGTAAAGGAATTTATTTGTGGCCGTAAATCGGTAACCGAAATTTTACTATACAAATAGCATAATAGTTATATTTGAGAGGAATTTGAAGAACAAAAAATAAACCTACAATTTTCTGTATAAATACAGTTTTTAAAGAAAATATTCCAAATAGATGCAATCAAGATACAATAACACGCCGAACAAATATTAATTTAGAAGTCAAACAACAAAAATCAGCGTTATATTTTCAAATTTTTACAGATTAGTTTCGAGGGTTTACCGAACCATCATCCTCAGCTGCAAAAGCGCAAATGAACGAGATAAGATATAATAATTAGATAAGATAAGAAAGCCTGGACATGAGATAAGCTACTGGCGCCATCTGTTGATGAAACCAGAACTAAAACATAATTTCTTTAAAGGCTGAAGGCAAAGATGGATTGAATTGGTAAATAATCATTATTCACCAATGTTCCAGTGGAGGGTGCTTAAGATGTCTAGAAACCAGAGACTTCGCGAATTTCATTTCTCTTGCATCGAAAATGATGAGTTAATTTCTCTCACTCAACTCTGTTTGAAACAAACGCATTTTGTTTTCCAAAATTAATATTACAAGTAAACTTAGGGATTAGCCATGCGAAGCCCCCTCAGTCCCATCCTGGCTGATATCTATTATGAATAAAAATTGTTTGAAACTTTAAACTTCCCGGTATGGTTCCTCTACGTAGACGATACTTTTACCCTGTTTGAAGGTAATAAAGATGATTTTAACAAAGTTCTTTCAACAATGAATTCCATTGATCCTTCTATGCAGTTCACTTTTGAACTTGAGACTTGCAATTTTCTTCCGTTTCTCGACATTCTGGTCACACGTAACACATCCAACTTCAGTACTATAGTTTACCGTAAACCTTCATCGGTTTCCCTTCCACCACACTTCAAATCATGTTATCCGACTAAACAAAAGTTAGCTATTTTATTCCTATGTTTCCCGTGCTCTTCAAGTTTGCTCCTTCAAACTATCCCTTGATGAAGAACTAAATTATTTAAAAGCAAGAGCTATTGACAGGGGCTTTTCACCCAACATTATTAATCAAGCAGTTAAAAAATTCTCATCTCAACACACCGAAAGGCACACTCTTGTTTTAGGAGATTATAAAAGTTCTGTTGTCATCCCCTTTTTCCTATCAGTTAGCTATAAAGTTGCACGTATTTTGCAGAAATTTAACTTTCGGGTCGTTTATTCTCCCATCAATAAAATTCAGAGCTCCATACTCAAGGACCCCATTCGGGATATGAATTCCTGGGGTATTTACAGAATTCCTTGTCGGTGTGATTTATTTTGCATTGGCCAAACTAAGAGAGCCTTAAAATTTCTCGTTAAGGAACATGAGGCATATGTTAGAAAAAAGGAAACAGAAGTCCTCTATTTATTGGTCCGAAATTCACACTTTCAATTTTTCTGCTGCCAAAATTATTCAAAAAAATCTTCCATTGTTGAACTGGATTTTTTGAGGCATTTCACATTCAAAAAAATCTTTCTGTTCTAGTTAACGACCCTAATTCCAATTCATCTTTGCCTTCAGCCTTTAAAGAAATTATGTTTTAGTTCTGGTTTCATCAACAGATGGCGCCAGTAGGTTATCTCCAGCCCAAGTTTTATTATCTTATCTAATCATTATATCTTATTTCGCTCACTTGTGCTTTTGCAGCTGAGGATGATGGTTCGATAAAACCATCGAAACTAGACCTGTGAAAATCTGAAAATATAACGCTGATTTTTGTTGTTTGAATTCTAAATTAATAGATGTAATCAGTTTACTTCATAATCCTAAAATTTTTAGGATTATGAAGTAAACTAGTTTACATCTATTCATAATGCTAAAATTTTTAGGATTATGAAGTAATCCTAAAACTTAAACGCCATTTTAACTGTTTTATGAAAAGCTGTGAAAATAACTGCTTGAAATTAAAAAATAAATGAAATACTTTAATTGAAAGAACTGCAGAATTTTTATTCAAAAGCTTGGCATTACAAAATTTCTTTCCATTACTTCATACGAAGAAGTTATAGTATTCTACTGCATGATTTTCACCTCTTATAAGGTTATAGCAATTCATTATTATACCTGATGTTATTTTCCCTTATTATTCTCAGGGCTCACTTGCGGCCGAACGGTAAAGTCGCTGAACACTGGTAGTTCGGTCTAAAATTCGAATCGGTCGAACGGCCTGGCTGCTGTTACCCCATGTGTAACGTGTATACGAGCCAGTTTTCCTTATAAAGTCCTCCTCGAAGTCATCTCTCCCCTTGGTCAGAAAGCCTTCCAGTTTAATCACATAAACCAAACCAAACCCTTATTATTCTCTCAACTCATGCTTCGAATATTCGCTATTTCTAGTTTTATAGTTCCATGTACTAGATTATAAATTTTTAGTCTTATTGATGTCTTGGAACTGGATAGAATGTTTAGTTTTTGCTCACTGTAGTTATCACATTTTTACATTATGCAATGTATGTTCATTTTTTAAATACGAAATTTCTAACAAATCCAAAAGAATGTTTATGGGATCGTACAAACTGCAATCGTGACGGGCCTCGCTTTCCGAAGTGTCTCCAAAGTTTAAAAGAAGCAGACCTTTCATTTCATGAATTCGCGTCTCGTCCTCTTTTTTTTTTTTTTTTTTTTTTTTTTTTTTTTTTTTTTTTTAAGCTATTTTTCAAAGTCTCGAAATGAACTATATATGATTCTAAATAAAACTATATACCATTAGTCAAAACAAGAAAAACTTTAGCACTCTGCTTTACGGCTAAGGTGCCAAATCTTCATGGAACAGTTACATTTCATGCTGCAGTTATACTTCATGGATATTCTATAGCCACAGTTTAATTAGTTTTTCTCAAATCAAAACTAAGTGCGTGGTTACCAAGAATATTAAATTTGATCTTGTGGCTAAAAATAGCTGTCCTAGAATTTCTAGATCTTTAAGTGGGTCCGAATATCCTCTAAACCAGGGGGTCCCCAAACTTTTTGTCCTTAAGAGCGCATTCTAGAATATCTGTTGGCGGACGGGCACCATTTACTTTTCCAAGGTGAATTCATAATTGAATAGAGTTAATAGTACATGCACATAAAAAAAAAAAAAAAAAAAAAAAAAGAGATCGGTCGCATTTCGCTTTGTGCTGGTATCTGTGTGGACGCAATTTCTGTTTAATTAAAAATGAGAACTTTCACATTGAATTTTATTGAAAATTAAAACATTTTTATTGTGATCTCTCAGTGGCCGGCACACGTTAAACGATCGGCTGGTGCCATGGTGCCCATGGCCATAGGGTTGGGAACCTCAGCTCGAAACATTTTGCTCTACTTTGCAAGCTTTTAAAAGTGTTTCTCAAGCAGCATTTCGGATACATTCCAAACAGTGTGGGCACAAATATCCCTGCTGTGTATAACTAGAGAGACTCTCCAAAAGGATGTCGTACATAGTTTTGGATTTGATTTACTTCATTCGTTTTAGTTTCTTAAGAGCACTCGGATTAATCTTTATTTTCAGTCAGTGCGTCGTTTCTATGCTTTCCAATTGTTACCCGGAGACAGAAAGGATTCAGTCATCAGTAAGCAACTTCTTGAAAACTTTCCTGCTTTTAATGATCATAAAACGGATTTTTTTCTATATCGGTATTGTTTTCGAGATCTCATTTTGAAAATTTAATGTCCATTTTAAATAGTTGAATACCGATGTTTCTACAGATGCAATAATCTTTCTCAAATCTTTATCGTAATTTATTATTCCTAGCCCGAAGTTTGATTATTTAGTGGTAATTTAAAACTTTTATTTTAACTTAAACTGTGCTTAAATATTTTTAGAGGCTCCCAAGTTGAAAACAGATTGCATATA